TGAAGCCCGACTGGTATGGGTCTAGATAATCTGTTTCATCCAGGTGACGAGGGAACTGCTGAGCAACCACACTCTCAACAACCTTCGCCGCGAAGCGAAGGTTGGAGACCGGGCGATAGTTGGCCAACTCGTCTGGGTCCAGGGAAGGCTTCTTGAGGAGGGGCCTCACCACGGCCTCTTTTAGGGCCGTCGGGAAGATGTAGAATTGTATCCAAAACTTTATCAAAGTGAATCCAGCATCAGCTTTCCTACCCTACTTTGTCCCATGAGGATCTATCATAATAATTTATCTCTATTGATTAAGTCTGTTTTATTGTGAATCAATAATAGTGGGGTTTTTAAGAGAAATTTTAATTATATAGGCCATAGTAATATTTCTTTTTAATTTGGTTTTAAATTAGGTATTTATTGTAGTATCTGTTTTATAAGGCTGTCAGCCGCCCTGAGTCCGGTAAGGAGAAGGGCGGGATATAAATTGAATAAATAAAATAAATAAATAAATTGCTTACTCCCATGTACAGTCTTACTTAATCCACTACTAGGGCTCTTTGATGGAGATAAATGGAGTATAAAATGCTTGATGTCTTGTGGGAATAAGCTAATCCTAATGGTATTGTACTTGTTTAAATATTACAGTTGACCAGGACTATTAAGGTTTTGCCTTTGGGAGGAAATGCTGTTAACAATTACATGTTTTTCTTTTTCTTTTAGTGCCATTATGGTGTTCTGCTCGCCTCAGTTTAGCAATATGGGCCTTCTTTGGATTCTTCCTCTTGTATGCACTTCGTGTGAATTTAAGTGTTGCCCTCGTGGACATGATAGAACCAAATATAAGCTTGAACAAGAACATCTCCTCAAATGTGTGTCCAGAGCATTCTTCCACTTCAGGAGTTCCTCATAACACTACGGTGATTTTAACAAGTTTATACAGATTTATAATACAATGTAATTATGATGCTTAATAAACTATCCCTTATCTTAGCATGATATATGTCAGACTCCACTAATATCCTGGGTCAGGGACAGAGAACAGATATATCAGTGATCAGATTTAGTATAAGAGACTTATTTTATTTTTGTGCCTTTAACAATACTCTTTGGACTGCTAACAAAAGTGTGTATTTTCAAGCATGGTAACATAATCAGTTGAATGCATTGATAAAAATAGAAAACAAACAAGAAAAAGATTTCAAAACAAAGTATATATTATTTACATTATTTAAAAACAATTTTATAGCACTTCTCTTTGACATATTGTAATAATTAAATTACCAAACAGTAAAAAAAAAATATAGTTTTTGTAGTGGGTATACTTTGTAAGAAGCTTTTTTTCATGCATCATACTAATGAGCACGGAGATCACTGTTACAGAAAATAGGATTTGTTAACCAGGCTGTAACTGGAAGCAAATTCCACAAAGGATCATATGGGAAAACACAATACTTTTTTTTTTTTTTTTGCTCTTATGATGTAGAAAATATTGACCAGACCTGCCTGCCTCTTCCTCTTTTTTTTTTTTTAGGGAAAAAGCTATTCTTGGGATGCTGATATGCAAGGCTGGATCCTTGGCTCCTTTTTCTATGGCTACATCATTACTCAGGTTCCTGGGGGATATCTGGCACGCCGATTTGGGGCAAAGCTGCTGCTGGGCTTTGGCATCTTGGGTACTGCTGTTTTCACCTTGTTCACACCGTTAGCAGCAGATTTAGGAGCTGGATTCCTCATAGGCGTCAGGGTTTTGGAAGGTCTGGGCGAGGTAATCTATTGCTTTTCCTTTGATGTTGGCAAAACAGTGGGAAAGAAGGGGAAACGCCAAGTCAATAAATGACCACCACTCTTCATAGTTTTCTGACATGAGTGGCTCCAGGCTCCTCACTGTCTTAGTCTTGTCACAGAACTTTAACATCTTGGACTTGGACTTGGGGGTTTCCTCTTTTCTCTCAGTTCTTCCGTGTTTCACATGAAAATTATGTGTGGAACACATTGTGCAAATAATGTGTTTTTTTTGTGAGTGCAACTGTATTATTTGTAAGGACAAGTATATTGTATGAAGTGTAAAGCACTGCCTTTGTGAAAAATCGTAGCTATAAAGAGTGGTACACCGTTCTGTACCCAAGTAATCCAACCCCGTCCAGTCCTGCTGCCTCATAGTAGTAGAAGGTGTTCCTGGGAGTGATAAGCAAAGAATGCCAAGAACATAAATCCCCAAAGTGAAAGCACGAAGGTCATCCCAGCTACTCACTAAAGTGAGCAGGCTCTGTATCAGGCAACAATGATATAAGAGGTCAAAGGCAAAAGGTCACTTTAGTGACACTGGCAAAGGCATCATTCCATACTGCTGGGAGAAGGCAGTGGTAAACCACTCTTGTCTGTTACCGTGAATCCACATGGGGATAGGCAATATAAAATTGTTCTGGGGAAGATTTTCTCTCTAACAAAATGGTTACTAAGTTGATGGCACATAATCAGGAAGTGCAAATCCTCAGTGGAATTCTGCATTTAATGCCATTTTCTTTTCTTTTTTTTTTTTGGCAAATTTCAGCTTCATGGCTTACAGCAGGGGTGTCAAACTCAATTTCATTGAGGGCCGCATCAGCATTGCGGTTGTCCTTGGGGGGCTGGATAGGTATGGCCAGGGTGGGCATGGCCTACTGGGTGGGCGTGGCTGGAGTGGGTGTGGCCTACTGGGTGGGCATGGCCAGCTCTACATCGTTCGCGTCAAAGGTGCCTGTGGGGGCCTGGGCAGGAGTGGGACAGATCTGAGGGTCTCTGGCAGAAGGGGGTAGGACCAGGGCAAGCGCCAAAGCATGGTCCACTGGAAGAGCCTACTGAAATCCCTTCCCCGGAGCCCATCAAGCCGGATATGTGAAGTAGGCGAGGGCCATTTGCTGGCCACTTTCAGGCGATGGTGCATTTCTTCATTCCTCACAAAGGGTGACACCTCCCCAGCGCACGCCCAGGGGGCAGGGCCAACGCGGCAGAGGCCAGTCCCTTGCTGTTTCCAGATGGCCTTGTGGAGCTAAGACTGAATGCGTTTCAGCATAGATGGTCACCACAAAATTGTACATTGGCTCCCAGGCGGCCTGGGCCAAGCCCAAGGCAGTGGGGGCCATTCCATCACTGTTTCCAGAATGGCTTCGCAGGCCACATGAAACCACGTCATGGGCCGCATCCGGCCCCCAGGCCTTGTGTTTGACATGTCTGCCTTACAGGATTTAATGAAGGGCTTTCTTTTTTTCTACAGTTAATCATTTTCAAGGTGATCCAGCATTTTGGATCACATTTAATCATTAAATCAGATTCATAATGTAAAATTATGCCCAAATTATACGGGGGATGGGTGGCATAAAAATTTAATAAATAAAATAAAAAATACATCCTCTCATAGGAGTATCAGCAGAGTAAAACATTGACGAGTTGGCCAGAATAAAATATTGTTTAGTGTTCTTGAGAGGCATCCAAAGCAAAGGCCATTGTAAGAATAGACTCTGCTCATAGAATTCATCACCCTAGTGAACAACCAAAGATTAGTTTCTTAGAAGCCAATCATAAAAGTGTTTTAGAAGCTGATCATAAAACGGCTTATCCCTTTGCATCTTTGGATGCCTTTTCATCTTAAACATTATTGCTTATTCATTTTCATTTTAAATTCTGCATTACTTTTGCTGGGGGGATATAGCTTATTTAAGAATAAGGGTTATTTTTTTATATAAAGTTTCACTGCCTGATTACATTACATCATGCTTCACTACATATCAATATTTATGGTCTAGATTGAATATTTTGGTGGCTAAGACTTGGTAAAAATTGAGCATTCAGTATCATTATCCACAAAACATTTTCATCTGAAGGACTATGATGGGCAAGAAATTAGTTCTGCTTAATTGCTCTTCAGTTATGTGCACATGCTGAAAACAACAGCTTCATGCTAATATAACCAGTACTTTCCCAGGATTTATTGAAGAGAAACATTTCATTAAAATAAAATGTTTTACCAATGAATGTCTATCTTGTTTTTGATATATATATTACACATATATATTACATGTATATATTACATTGGAAGCAAATATATTTTCCAGGGTGTAACGTTTCCAGCCATGCATGCCATGTGGTCTAATTGGGCTCCTCCATTAGAACGCAGTAAACTCCTTAGTATTTCATATGCAGGTAAGATTTCATACATATTTTTAGATTTGATCCTGGTTGACTGTGGGGTGGTCCCAAGAAGAACTTGCAGGGCTATGAATTTCCTCCCTTC